AATGGTATCCATACCCATCACTGCTGAAGAGGTTGCTGAGATATGTGTAGAGATTCACACAATTGAGACTGATGCTGCAAACTGCAGAACAGTATCTCACTGAAAAACATAATGAGCTATTTCAGGAAGCCAAAGTGGGAACAGACAGTGTTTCAGTGCATTTACCTAAGCAATCACAACTCACACTTCAAGGCAATAGAAGCAGTAAAATAAGTATAATCAAAAGAAACTCACTTGTCTAGCTACATTTAATAAATAAGGATGGATGTGGTCCTAAAGAAAGAGAGCTGACCTGTTGGTTGGTCTTCACCAGCATATTTTTTTCCTGAAGTCCTGGTGATGGACAGTCTACATAATATTCTTTTCAATACAGCAAATGTGAATTCTCTGCAATATAGAAACTGCATACAGCTGCTAGGGGTAGAGCCAAAGATGGACCTTCACCCAGAAATCAATCACATTATGATTAGTTAGCTCTTTCCTCATTAGCAGCACTGGCTCTAGAACAAACATCTGGTCCAGATACATGGATCTTTAATGAAACGTGGCAATAATTTGTTTTTCAATTTGCCATAACATCCAAATATATAACCAAGAGCACCCTTCTCCTCTGTATTTTCCCTCTGAAAATGAGAAAAAAAGAGAAAAATTAAGGCCAGAAAGAAAGCACAAAGGAGGGCTCAAAATCAGCAGCTGAAGAATTTCTAAGTTGCACTTGTTGCCTGATAAAAATGTGATAGCTAGATATGTCTGTAACACCCACTTGAAAAGATCTAGGTGCTAGTCTGGGCCTTTGAACACATTCAGTACATACCTACCACTGTTGATCTGTAATTCAACACTGAATTCTTAAGTAACATTTTTTGAGGAAGTTAGAAAGTAATGTTTTTCCCATTTTATTGACTCCAAAACTGAAACAGAGACGTCAATAACTAATTTGAGGCCCCTGAAAGAAAAATTCATTATAGACAAGCTTTCACTGCAAGAAGTTATGGAAAGTCCATGCTCTTAAGTAACAGGAAGAACTGCTTTCTGCCTTCAGAGTGAGTTTCATCACTAACATTTTCAGCATGAATATTTATCATTCACTAAAACGTCATATTCTCCTCTTTTGCTTTTTTTTAACAGGAAGAGTATCCCCCAGAATACATAATGCATCTTCTGTTCATCTCTGCTCTTAATCTTGTAGCTCTCATGGAAAAGTTTAACCCATATGTCATTTTATTTGAGAGTTCTTGCATGCATTTCCTCTCTGGCCATACAAACAAAACTAAGACCCAGCCATGGATGAATTGGAGTCCAACATTTATGAACATTTATTCCATATTTATATATGGAATATATAAATTCTATATATAACATCACGCAAAATGATCCAAAAGGACTCTCAAAAAAAAAGGTTATCTCAGAAAACCGAAGTGCTCTGAAAATGCTTTTGTTTAGTATGGGCTACTAGGGATATCCACTTTGAACATAAGTTAGATGGCTAAACAAAGGTAAGAAGAAGCCTTGTTCCTGAGTGGGTAGGAAAGACACTCCACTGATATGACAGTAGACAAGATGGCACAAGAATCTGGTCAGCAAAAAGGACAAATTTTATTTACTTAATTTTTTCCTAAAAGGACTGTGTCACACTAACTATAATTTTCTCTCTGCAATGAATTGTCAAGCACTGTTTCTTCCTTGGTATCAATTGGGTGCTATCACTCCAGGCATTTATTTTATTTTTTTTTATGTAAATATCTAACAGGAAGGAGACCAAAACAATCAATTCATACCAAATAGACCACTGAATAATCTCCTGGTGATGACAACTTCAAACCACAATTGACGTGGCTGGAAAAGGACTAATGATTTAGATAAGGAAGATGCTTTATGATATTGGCAACCCTTTTGCCCTCTATTTGCCCTCACTACAGTCTTTCTAAAACTTTCATCAGGGAAGAAGGTTAAGGAAAGATGGCTTGTAATGCAGTATCAGATACAGTGCTTCAAAAACTTCAGCTTCTAATCACATTTCATTTTTAATGGTCATCTCCCAGATTATTTTTCAGAGAGCAGCTTAAGTTATTTGAACAACTTTGTGAGCAATTTCCTTTGCCCCTTTTCTTCAGACATTTGCAGTAATTTCATAGGTACTAGGTCTTTACATTATTTTCTAGCTCATCACTTTTACTATCATTTTGACTCAGAGCTCATTTCTTTGATGTACAATAATTTGTTATGAGAGCACAGGATATCAAAAGACAGAAATATATTCATCATCTAATGTACAGCATGATCTACATGTCAGAAAGAAATAGTAAGGTTATCATTTATGCTTCTTCTCAACCATCTCTCTTTGCACAATTGTCAGATTGCTGCATTCAAATTGCAGCTCACAATTCATTTCACACCAAGAAAGCTCCATTTCATACCAGGCAAGGAGCCTTGTGGTATAAAATCCTGTATTCTACATTGCACAGACAAGAAAAGGCCAGCTCCCTTTGTCCCAGAATTGTTCACTGCTCTTTAGATTAATTTGCAACACCATCCAGAACACAGGATTTGGGTTGTATATGTAATTTTTTCTTTTTTTTTTTTTTTGCTCTGGTTTATTTTTGTTCTTTCCTATTTCACGTTTTCTTTATGGTGGAAATCTGTTTCAGCCAATCAAGATAGAACCTCTTCTTATTTCACTGTCAACCCATTCCCTGAAAGATGGTTGATGCAGGTTAGCCTGGGCTGGATGCAGCAATGGTATAATGTATCTGTAATTCTAATTAATGAAGCTGAAAGATAAAAATCAGCATCAACAACAAAAAGTGCAACATCAGCTTTTGTTGTTCTCTTCCCTTTTATGTCTATTTGTCTTGTTTCATTCCCAGCAAAATGGTACCAAAGCACAAACTTAAGGAAAACAATAACTCGGATTCATTCCAAGCACAAATAAAGTCTATAATACCACCTATAATATAGTTTAACTGAAAGAATTCCCTTCTAAATCATTTTTATATACAAAGGAAAACAATTAGGGGACACTGATTAAATTAATATTCCTTACTTTATTGTATTACATATTTTTACGGATTTTATTTTTAAATGTATTTTTAAAAACCCCACTTAAATTATACCTCAAATTTTCCAACTATTTTTCTTCCTTTTTTCCATATCTTTATTAAAAGATTAAAATAATTTGCAATGTCAGTTGTGGACCTAATAAGCCAAGGTCTTCATGTTGAAACTTCACTATCATACAGCGAGTCAGAATAACATGAGACCATTTAGGAACACTTATTAAAGTAACATCATCCAAAAAAAAGAAAAAAAAAGGTTTTTTTTTCAATTATACCATTAGTATTCATTTGTGGGGATATGGTAATAATGCCTGTACTGGTGAAAGGCAACATTAATTTTTGATAAAAACCTGACCATTCTAATACTAGCTTTGTTCCACCACATATGATGTCTCCTTTGAAACACCTGTGACAGTTCTGACAGCAAATCTCCATCTAATATTGCTTACCTTTCTTACATCCACCCCTGTTTCTTGCCACCTCACCCTACGCTTGCAATACCTGCCATTCCCATTACATCCAGACACAGCAATGTTTTCATTCAAAAGGCATCCTAATGACTGCCTTCCTCATGAGCACATAAAGGATATTATTTACTCATACAATTGTCTAATTTTCCCCTTCATTTAAAATTGAGTTTTGAGGAATGCTGCAATATACCAGTAATCAGCTGTGTCTATGTTTCTAGGTGAAATTACCACTACTGCCTCTGAACTGTGGTACCCATGACTCTTCTCCCCAGACTTGGTGTGAGACATGGCCGTATCCTACCAGCACACTGGGACCACCCCAACTTCTGCTTCCCTCCCATACCCTTACATTCACTGAGAAATCAGGCATGTGGGCAGTTCAGAAGGAAGGGATCAGCATTCCAGACCCTGCAATCATGTCCAGATGACAGCTAAACAAGTAGTGCAGAAAAGTGAGGCAGCCTTCTCTCACTGTTTCTGTGACTGAAGGCTTCCTACCATGCTTCTTCAGTGAGACTTGACACAGCTGAGATCTGCTAAGGCATTCCCTCTAGATCTCATCTCTCCTAAAGAAAAGTCTGCTCCATGTAATCATTCATTCTAAATAAATACTGCCCGATAATAAATTCTAAGTCAAGGCCTCAGGTAAGTAAGTGATTGATCTTCCTGTGATAACCCTTGCTTCTCTCTTATCAATTTGTCTGAAATGTTTTTTATCATCACTTGTTTCTTCCTATTTAGTTACAAATAAAGTTACAAATCTATCCAGAAAATAACAACATTTTTCTGTCTCAGCAAATGTTTAGCACACCTGCAGGCTCTGCAAGATAGCAAGAACAATAACCACTAAACAGTAGCCTCCAGCCCTAGAATAGCCTGCAAATGTTAATGCTTAAATTAACATGTTAGTGTGCAACATATCCTTTAATTGCAATTAACAAAGAAAATTAGCAATAGAAAGAGACCAAAAGACTAAATAAACAGAAAACAATAGAAAACAAAGTCCTGAAGAAGAAGTAATTTTGTTCTTCTCAAAGCCAGGAGTCCAAATTATCTGCAGGGCTTTTTTACCATAAATTAAGTACACTATTGTATAATATTCATCTAAAACTAACTCCATATTGCTACTTCACAAAAAAAAAAAAAAAAAAAAGAAAAAAAAGATGAGTGTGATTCTCTCCAACTTTATACATGTGGATGTCAGGTACAGCAGTAATATTTCAAACCCTACTTCTAACACAGAAGGAAAAGCTGCTAGAATTTTGGCTGGCTGAACAGAACCTGAGCACAATGCAGAAGCTTACTTAAGTGTGGCAGTACTGAACATTGCCACCCTGGCACTTACTGAAGCACAGGGTGTGCTCATTTCCATATCAATGCGACACATGTTTCTCCTAGACAAAGCTGTTTCACACCACTGCAGCTATTTGAACTTTGGAAATAAACGGAAAGGTTTCTGTGTTATTGTTAAAAAAACAATGAAACTTATATCCTTTGTGCACAGGATACAGTCAATGAACGCTGTCCTTTGTAGGGCTGTATTAGTGATTTTGGGCAAAAGGAACGCATTGTAACAGAGCTGTGTCGTGCAGGAAAGACAAGCATCTCTTTAAATTCAGAACACAGAGTTGCACAAGTAATAGTAATAGTGATTTAGAAGATTATATTCACTGCAACTTTGTTAGCTTGCTGAATGAGCCTATAACAAAACCTGTGAATCGACAATAATGTGAAATTTAAGTGATTTGTTCAAGGCCACAGAGAAACACTAGAAACAATTAACAGCCTGTCCCATTTGTGTCCATTCATGTTTTAAGAAGGCCAAGTTTCTTCTTCTTACCCAACAGACAAAGAAATACTTTCCAGATTCTCACAAATCAATACTAAAATACACTATACCATACAAAACAGTAAGCTGTAGAGCATTAGGAAAGAAAAATAAAATCTTCAAGAAAAGCGGTATCAAAGGACCAGAAGCTTTGTCACGTTGCATGAAAACCCAGGGTACCATTGCACCCAAAAGGCCATTACTGGGAAAGAACCACCTCTTCCCTGCAGAGAAAGAAAGCAAAGGGTTCAATGATGTAAAACCAAGATCATTTAAAATCACTACTTTTAGCTAAGAGGAAACCAACTATTTTTAAACTTGAAGCTTCATAGCCATGTAAAGAACTCATTGTATATGAGTATGACTCCTCAATCTGTAATTCCTGTATAATACTTCTATTTAGATTGAAAAGAAAACACATCACATACTAAATTAACAATAATTCCTTCTTCTCTGCTCCCTGGGTTTTCCTTACAATGTTCTTTTCACTATGATTACAGACAAGAAAAAAAGTAACTTATTCAGAAAAAAAAAAGTATCAGAAAGTACATTCAAAGATTACCTGTCAACTTGCCACAAGCTGAATTTCATTTCATCACACAACAGCAAATGAGAACAATTTTTTTCTCCCATACTCTTTGAAGAGTAGATGCTTTTAAGGAAACAGAAATAGTGCTGGTACATTTTTGCTCTTCAGCAACAGCAGGATGGAGGGTCTTTAAGCTCACAAAATCACAGAAGGGTTGCTGATGCAAGGAACCTCTCAAAATCATTTAGTCCAGCCCCTGCTTAAAAGAAGGGTCAGCTAGAGCAAGTAGCTCAGGGCTTTGTCCAGTCAGCTTTTAAATATCATCAAGCAACTACTTCTCTGGACAATCTATACCAGTGTTTGATCACTCTCACAAGAAAAATGTGCTTTCTTATGTTCAGATGGAATTTTCTCTATTTCCATTTGTGCCCTCTGACTCTTTTTCCTGTCACTGGGAACACCTGAGAAAAGCCTGGCTTCAACTTCTCTGCACACTCCCATCAGGTATTTCTGCACATGGGCAAGGCATCCTTGAACCTGCTCTTCTCCAGGCTGAACAATTCCAGCTTTCCCGTCTTGTCATTCACAGAGAAGTGTCTGCTTGTACTTAGCATTGGTGAGGCTGCACCTCAAGTGCTGTGTCCAGTTCTGGGCCACTCACTTCAAAAAAGACATTGAGTTGCTGGAGTGTGTCTAGCAAAGGGCAGCAAGGCTCATGAAGGGTCTAGAAAAGGAGTCTTACAAGAAGCAACTGAGGGAGCTGGGATTGTTCAGTCTCAGGAAGGCTCAAGGGGCACCTCATCACTCTCTACAACCCCCAGAAAGGAAGCTGTGGTGAGGTGGGAGCCAATCTCCTCTACCATGCCTGCAGTGAAAGGAACAGAGGGAACAGCCTTAAACTGAGAGATTCAGATTAGATACTTGAAAAAAATTCTTTTGCTGTTAAAGTAGTCAGGCAGTGGAGTAGGCTACCCAGGGAGGAAGAAGAGTCACTGTCCCTGGAGGTGCTCAAGAAGTGTCTGGATCTGGTGCTGGGTGATCCAGTTTAGAGTTAGGTGGACGGTAGGACTGGACCATCTTGAAGGTCTTTTCTAAGACTGATGATTGTATGATTCTATTTATTAATGACACATTATTATTAGCAGTTGGTGATCATAATTATTTGTGTATTTTAAAGCTGAAGCAAGATACACCGAGCCAGGACAGGGACCAAAAACGCTAATGATAAGGATAAGAAGGAAGGACACAGTTTTCTAGGCATTTCAATAACTGCTACTGGACAGAAGCAAATGTTATAATTCAAATTATTGTAAAGTTAACATTTATAGTTCATTCATCTGAAAATTCTGGCCATAATAGCCACGACTTTCTCTACCCAGATGCAACTCCTGAGAGAAACATTTCTTATAATTCAAAGTAGACTTAGCCTCTGGCCAGCAGAAATTTTTTAACTTCTTAGAGGCTTCTGCTTTCTTACTTGAGGACTCCCATCTAAGAGAGAAGCACAACAGGCATACCTGAACAGAAAACTGTTGAGTCCCATTCATAACTCAGTGAATTGCCCAGAATAATATACAACAGCTGAACCCCTCATGTGAACCTGTTACTCCACAAAAAGCCTATTAAGTCTACCTTTATTCCATTAATGGACCATTAGCATCATACCACACTGGAACCAATTTAGGTATAAGAGGATATTATGAGTATGGTTAATGACAAGCATGAGAAGATACTATAGCAGTGTTACCAGGCTGGGATAAGTAATCAGTTAGGTGCCATAGCAGTAATCAGTCTCCACCACACAAAGTCATGGTCAGGGATCAAGTCTGAAATTCAAAACCTGAGATAGAAACCATAAAGATCTACAGCTAATAAAAAATGGACTTTGGGAAAGCCTAGTCCTCTGCATGCTACTTTAAACTTTGAACAAGAACTGCAGGCTTTCAGGAGCCTACACTGCACAGGCAAGGTGACCTACAATGATTTCAAAGGAAACTTGAACATAGTCAGTCACAGAGAAGTGCATCACAGAGTCAGACCAAACCTGCAAAGAACCAGACCACAATGGAATCTAAATCCTATCTTGTACCTCTCCCCCAAGTCCTTTCTGGATATCTGAAATGGGGTATTACAGCTCCCAAGGACAGAAGCTCTCAAAGGATATATGAAAAAGGTCACATTTTTATAGCTTTTAAAATAATCAAGGTCCTTCTGAACATGTGCTGACATCACACAGGCACAGGAAGTATTAAAATACAACACCCACACATATTGATACACCCCCTCTGAAGTGGAGACATTAGAATGACAGGGCAACTGCTGAAAGTATTACAAGGATCACAATTTAGGATCTGCATGCCCACATGAAATTCCTGCAAGTACAAAATTCCCAGTTTTGATGCTAAAGTCTACTTTCAAAATATCCAGCTGTACATTTCCAAAGTTGTACAGTTTTAGAATTTGGAAGGAATTAAAGAACTTCCTTTAGAAGAAGCTCCATAACTTCTAACACTGAAGTCTACAGCTGAGAAAGAAAATTGGCTGTTTTGTCATAAAACAAATGTCCTCCAAGTCAGATTTCATAGTCTCCTGAGAGAGAAAGGTCCAAATCCCATTGGAATATAACAGGATCAAATGCATGCATTCTAAACTACAATGGAATTTAAGTGCCTACATCCAATTGAAATGCAGTTAGATTTGAGTACCTAGATCTCATAAACTGATTGAAAGTCTACCCTCTGTGTTTCACAGGATCATGGGGGTAGGTGGGACTTTGAAATCATATCACACTATGACTCAACTAAAACAAAAGAAGCTACATTTAATTCAATAGGATTATTCCAGTATTCTCACCTATAGGATTATTTTCTTCGGTTTTATTCTTTTACAACAGAAGGTGGCATTGCTAAACTACTAGTGTTACACAATTAGCAGTTCCTGCATTCCCCCTCCCAGCAGAGAAAGTGCTGGGAAGTTCACAGAGGTTGCATAAGGTTCTCTTACATTAATAGGCTTTCCTGATTCTGCAACCCCCTAGTCCCTAAACAAGGGTAAATTAAGCTAGTGAGCCAGCCAGCATTAGCAAAACTCATGGTTTTGGCACACAGGATCACAGTGGCTGCACAGATTTTGACCATACCTATAATATATATACACCAGTCCTCTGGAAAACTAAATAACTAGCAAACGGAGGCAGAACACATCTGGTACCAATATATATATATTTTTTAAAAAAAGCCAGCAAATACTTTCCACTGCTTTACACATTCAGCAACTAGTTTTGTCGTCCTTCCGCCCTCAATAAAGGCAAATTGCAGGATATTGCCACAGGGTGGCTCATCTCGCCTGCGATGTGAGTCACAGTCGTTTCTGCTTAGAGCGGCTTTGCTTCGGCTGCTCGCGTTTCTCCAAGCCGGATTGCCACGGACGGAGCACACAGGGAAGAACTGCTACAAAGAGAAAAGCAGGAAGATCACACACCCAATTTTAATTCACCGTAACCCTGCATAGCTCCTCTCCCGTCAGTGAGCTAACAGTCATTCCTGATGATTTTGCGGGCGGATGGAACCTTGAGACATGAAGGCAATGAGCCCACATTCCTCAGCAGCCAAAAAAATCCCACTGGCTTTCTTGGAATGTCCAAACGACCGAAGAAATTCAGCTTCGCGCCTTGTTCCTATACCTGCTCAAGGTGACAAAATAGAATCTGTTCTCTTCAAAGGGCATGGAAGAGGACTCCTGTTCGACCGACAGTGCCATTATAAAAACTGACCTCACTATCACCTGGGGGCTGGTAAAAATTTAATAAATAAATAAATAAAGTCACAAACTGTTAAAAAGCAGACCAGCAAGCTGAAAAATGTGCATTTTGAACTTTCAAATTATCTTAGATGTGAAAAAAAACCAACCCTTTTTTAAAAAGGAGCTTCATTCGTATAGGTAGGAAACTTTATAAGCAACTATTCATAGTTAAATAAATTGAAACATAGAATATGCAACTAAATTATTGTAATGATGAAATATGAAATATTATCAACTACTATAAAAAAGTGCTCTGAACAACTGGAAATTAGAATTCTCTTGCTTCTAACTTTTTTTTTTCTTCTTTTCTGATGCTCTACGTTAAGGAATATTTTCATCTGGAATAAGACAAAGTCTAAAGTTCATAATAATTATATACTCAGCATATCTGAGGGTTTGGCAGTGCAACATATACAGGTTTGGCAGTGCAACTTTCAAAATGCAATTTAATCCATTTCCTCAGATTTAATATAGCATTTTAAAATCTAGTGCATTATCTCTTCCCAGTACTACATATTTAAAATAGAATTGGATCAAAAAAAGTTCCCATTGCATGGCTTCTGAACTAGTCATTCACAAATGCTTTTTGAATGTACTAATTCAACTAATGATGAATACAAGCCACCCTGCAAAATCTGAGAGTACTTACTGAAAGACTAGCATCCAGAAAAAAACACTAAATTCAAAATTAATTCCAGATAGTGCAATGTGGTGCTGAAACTACTTAACAACAGGAAAAAAGGAAAAAAAAAAAAAAATAGGCACAGAAAAAAAATTCTCTAACCACCTACGAATAGAATCCCAAAGAAAGAATTCCACTCCGGTGGTAACATTAGCCCCCAGGGCAGTATTTAGTGACATGGGCAATGCCACAGGCCTGTTCGCAGCCACAGGCCGGATCACCTCACAGCAGTCTCGCTACGCTATTTGTGTCCCCCGCAAAAAGTGCCGAGCTTATATGGTAAGCAGAGGAGCAGTGCAGCACAAACAAGAGGTACAGTATTTTCCAGAGCCGTGAACACAGAAGAGATTTCAGAGAGCGGGTATTGCTTTTATAAATTATATATAAATAACATAAAATGCATAAAGTGTACTTTTTAACAACAACTGTGATATGCTCATCTTCTCCAGAGTAACACACTGCTACTTATGTACCCTAAGTCACTATGAGATGGCGAGATACTGATTTATTCCCACCCCCATGACCCAGGAATTCCCAGATCACTTTGATCCAGGTGCTCCCGCTGACACCTCGCAGTACAGCGGGGCTTTATGGCAGGGCTAGGTGAAACCACGTTAGGAGCCCGCGTCTGACAGAGGCCTGAGGCTTTCTTATGTCCAGGAACCCGGAAAGCGCAGACCAACCCCCCTCCTGCGCCTTCATTCCAGCACGGCGGCGCAGCCACCCTCAGGGGCAGCCCCACCCCGCAGGACCCCACCGCGACACCATAGAACTACAAGTCCCAAAACACACCGCGCCCGACGCACCGGAAAGCGAGGCTGGGGCCGGCGGGCCGGGTACGCCGGTCTTTGTAGTCCCTGCGCGGCCCCGCCCCTCTCGCCGTTCCCGGCTGGCCCCGCCCC